AAGACCTCACGGGGGCCCCACGGGGGCGCCCGGCGGGCTTCCGGGAGGGAGAGGCGGGCGCTCGCACCTGCCCAGCCCATGACCTCAGGCTGCGCCGCACCCCGACACCGGCTGCGGTGGGATCGGACCGGGTGTGGGAGCCGCGGAGGTGCGGAGGCTCAGCCTGATGCACGTAAAGGAGTCGGCGCGTGCCGGTCCCGGGCGGCGCCTCCTTGGTCCCCAGAATCAAGTATTGTCCCCCCACCTCCCCAGCCGCAGGAACAACTCGGGTTGTAGCGGAAACCGGGGCAACCTTTGTTGGGGCTCCAGCAAAGGAGACGAGGCCCTGAGGTTCCCTCTCCAGCTCCGCCTGCAGGAGCCGCCGCACCCCCGCGCACCACCTACCAGAACCCGGCGGGAGTCGCCTTAGGACCCAGCGGGCGGAGTGTGCGCCTGCGCCCTGGCGAGGCGGGGCCTCGGAGAGCCAAGTCCAGTCCCCAAGGTCCAGACTTAACCCCGCCAGTCACAGTCCTTGGGCGAGGACGCGCTCCTTAGGGCTGGACAATTCTGTTTTCTTTTCTTTAAACGTATTTTTATTGATTTCAGAGAGGAAGAGAGGGGTAGAGAGAGAAACATCAATGATGAAGAGAATCATTGGTTCTGCCTCCTGCGCTGGGGAGCCCGCCTGCAACCCGGGCATGTGCCCTGACTGGGAATCCAACCCTCCTGGTTCTCAACCACTGAGCCACGCCAGCCGAATTTGCATTTTTATACACCAATAATGAACTCTCAGAAAGAGAAACCAAGAATACAATCGCATTTACCATTGTAACAAAACAAAAAAATAAGGTACCTAGCCCGGCCCACGTGGCTCAGTGGTTGAGCATCCACCAAGAGGTCACCAGTTGGATTTCCAGTCAGAGCACATGCTGGGGTTGCAGGCACCATCCCCAGTGTGGGAGCATGCAGGAGGCAGCCAGCTGATATTTCTCTCTCATCATTGATGCTTTTATCTCTCCTCCTTTCCTCTCTGAGATCAATAAAAACACATTTAAACACACACAC